GCGCCCAGCTCCTCCCCCGCCTGCGCTGCCAGGGCCTCCAGGTGGCCGGGGCTGGCCAGCGAGGGGAGGAGGCGGAGGAGGGCCAGCGTGCTTGCGGCGCCGCTGGCGCCAAAGTGCAGCATGCTCCCCTCGAACTCCCCCGCCCGGAACAGCACGGCCGCGTAGCGCAGGTGCGCGACATCCTCCAGCCGCCGCCGTGCCTCCAGGTCCGCTGCTGGGGCGGCGGCCGCCACGGCCAGGCACTCCTCATACTCGCCCAGCTCCAGCAGCGCCGCGGCCTGCGCCAGCGCGGGGCGCTGGGACAGGCGCACCAGCCGTCCGCCGGCGCGCGCGACCAGGCAGGAGCCGTCCGCCAACGGCCAGGGGCAGAGCAGGGCCGGGCCGCTCGTGCCCGAGGAGGCGGCGCTCGTTTCCTTGCCAGCGTCGGCGCCGGCAGGCTCTGCGCCCCCGGCCTCGCCCTTCAGGGCCAGGGTCTGCACCAGGGCGGCGCCGGAGAGAGCCTGGATGGGGCGCGCCTCGACCGCGTCGGGGCCCAGCGCACCCAGCGCAAACGGCGCCGCGACGGCCACCGACGCCGGCGGCGAGGACCAGGCCAGCGACGCGGTCTGGTGGGGCGGGCGGGGCCCATCAGGCAGCCGGAACAGCCCACTCTCGGCCCCCAGGCTGAGCAGGACCTGGGAGGCGGAGACCGGGGTCACGCAGGGGCTGGCGCTGGCGTGCTGGGCGAGGTGGGCCACGCCGCTCTGGGCCGGGGCGATGCAGCAGTACTCCCTGGAACGGGGCGCACGGGAGGGGGCGCTTGAAGAACCGGGCCCTCTGCAGCGAGGCACCACGGCGGCAGCAAGCTCCAGGTGTGAGCCCATGACGCTCAGCGTGTTCAGAAAAGCACTGAAAGCCTTGGGGTGCTTGATTCCAGCGGCGAGGCATTCCCAGTCAGCCGCCACGAGCGAGCATCAGTCGTGCGCTCCACCCCCCCTTCGGGCCCAGAGCCAGGCCCGGCCCATCGTACCCGCTGAGGCCCACGACGAGCTGGGCGCCCACAAAGGCGAGGCAGACCACGGTGTCGCTCAGGGGCACCTCCCTCGCTTGGCACAAACTCCAGGCCCTCGTAGGTGAAGAAGTAGACCCTGGGCAGGGAAGGGACACCGGGGAAGGCTGGGGGGGGGGAGGGAAGGGTGCTGGGCCAGGCACACATAACGCAGCAGTTGCAACCAAGATCCCCTCCCGCACCAAGACGCTCCACCAACCCAGCCGTTCCCGACCTCCCCTCCTCCCCACCTCTTTCTGTAGGCTGTTGCCAGGGTCCTGGTCTCGGAGTGCCAGGCAAAGGCCCGGCAGCCCCTGGTCCCGGCGACCTCGGCCTTCAGCAGCAGGCGGGGCAGCCTGTACACGCGCACTCCCTGCTTCCCCATGCAGAACAGCATGGACCGTGCCTCGTCGGTCTGCAGCTGCAGCACGGGGCCGCTGGTCAGGCCCCGCCTGGTCTGGGTGGTGAAACCCGCTGCCGTCAAGGCCGCAGCATGCTCCTCTGGCTTTAGAATCTGCAGATCCCCGTTATTCAAGCCTGCGGACATGCGTGGAGTGTTGAGTGTCCGTGTCGAAAGAGTTCTGACACCATAGACAAGGTGTAGGAAGAATTGCTAGCCGCTTGATGCCATTAACCCAAGCCAGGGACGTGCACCCACCCACCTACGAGCACACTATGGCCCCACACCCCCAGACACGAGCAGTCAGGGGCGGTGTGGATCGGTACTGCATCAAATGCATGCAGTGCCTTGACCTCCATGAGCCACAGGGGGCAAAGCTACACAGCCAGAGGCATGGCTCGGGAAGCGATCGAGGACGTGGGGGTGCGTCCTACGTCATCGATCGCAGCCACATTCAAGACGATCAATCATGCTGACTTCGAATCGGAAACCTGATGAATCGTGCATTCCTGGTCCAGAGATCTCTCAGATCAGCCACCCCCCCGCTTGCTGGAGCGCGCGGCAGCCCGGATGCCCCATCTATGATTTCGACACGAGGCGACGTGGATGCGTGGTGTCTGTAAAGCCCATTGCCCCGCGCCATGTTGCTCACAGTCTACTATACAGGTCAATAGTGCATGTCATGACTCGATCATCCAAATAATTTACAGCTATCTATCCAGAATGACGGTGCTTGGAGCGAGCCTGACTCGCATGGTACCATGCCACTCCCATCCCTCCAAGTCCCTGGCACCCCCTCCACGCCCCATGCGCCGCTCTAGGACGCCTTCTACCGCACCCGCACGCGAAATTAATGTGATTGGGCCACAGGAACTGGGAGATTTGCTACAGCAATGGCGGAATGGGCTTAATCTCTTCCCTGCCCTGCCTCCCTCACCTGCCTCCCTCATCTGCACCCCTCCCCCCCTGAATCATGCAGAGGAAGGATGCAGGTCCAGGGTTACAGAACGGAGCCCAGATCCTGCAGGACGAGGAGAGCGAAGTGTACGACTTGGAGCGTCCCATGGAGGATGCAGGGAAGTTCATCGACACAAAGGGAGCAGGACTGTCCCTCTTCAGCCCTGGGTGGCTGACGCAGCTAGGCCGGCTCTGGGGCGGCTCCTCTGTAGGCCTCGGAGGGTTGATTCAAATGGCCTGGGAAACATGATGACTCATTTTCCAGCACGACATTGCCCGCGTGAGGGCTATTTTGGATATTGCTTGTTGCCAGTGTGGTTTATGAAACCGCAAATCCTGTTGGGTTACACATTGAACATCCTGCTCCATCTCACCCCGCAGGATACACCGGTTGCGGCGGCAAAGCCAGCAGACATCCAGGACCTGCTCGGTGGCGCACTGTTTCGTGCCCTCTACAAGTGGATGGAGGAGAGTGGGCCAGTGTACCTGCTGCCGACAGGTGAGAGGAGGGGTGGGGGCTGCTAGGGCAATGATGGTGACAGTTCTGAGATGAGGTGGCGGACGTTCAGAGCCATTGACCTATGTGGAAGGGCATACCTGGGAACGTCGCATTGGCATGCACAGTATTGAGCAAAAGAACGTCTGTCACAGCTCTTCCTATACCTGTGGAGACCGGCCATTCCCACCTGCCTCACACCCTCCTTGCCCTCCGCCCAGGCCCTGCCTCCAGCTTCCTGGTGATCTCCGACCCGCAAGCCGCCAAGCACGTCCTGCGGGCCACGGACAACCCGGCCCGCCCCCTGTACGAGAAGGGCCTGGTGGCGGAGGTCTCCCGCTTCCTCTTCGGCGACGGGTTTGCCATCTCTGGCGGCGACGCCTGGCGCGTGCGGCGCCGTGCCGTCAGCCCCTCCCTACACAAGGCCTACCTGTCGGCCATGCTGGACGCGGTGTTCGGCCCCTCCGCGCAGCACATGACGCAGAAGCTGGAGGTAGGTGTCGGGGGCCTTGGGGTGTGTGGGGTGGAAGAGTTGCTGAGGCCATCCCCCCACCCTGCAGCTCCCACCTCGCCATGCATGCCCCGCGCCAGCCCAGCCCTCACATCCCGTCATCACACCCACCCCCTGCTGTCGTCCAGGAGGCGGCGCGCACCGGCGCCTTCCTGGACATGGAGGCCTGCTTCTCCCAGCTCACCCTGGACGTCATCGGCAAGGCGGTGTTCAACTACGACTTCGAGGCGCTGACGCGCAGCTCCCCCCTCATCCAGGCCGTGTACACGAGCCTGAAGGAGACGGAGTCGCGTGCCACCGACCTGGTCCCCATCTGGAAGCTGCCGCTGGCGGGCCTCGTGGTGCCCCGCCAGCGCCGCGCGGCGGCCGCCGTGAAGCTGATCCGGGACACCACGGAGCGGCTGATCGCGCAGTGCAAGCGCATCGTGGACGAGGAGGAGGCGCGGGGGCTGGAGACGGGGGGGGAGGAGGGGCTGCTGCCCGTCAAGGGCGACCCCTCCGTCCTGCGCTTCCTCATCGCCTCGCGCGAGGAGGTCACCAGCACCCAGGTCTGAGGGCGCCGTGTGTGTGTGTGTGTGTGTGACGAGCAGCAGGCGGCTCGACTTCTTCCTGTGAGGGGCCCGTCAGGGCGCTGTGCCCTCCAGTCCCCTCGCTGGCTGGCCCTCCCCCGACCTGATCACCCCCCGTTCCCGCCCCGCCCTCCAAAATGCAGCTGAGGGACGACCTGCTGAGCATGCTGGTGGCCGGCCACGAGACGACGGGCTCGGCGCTGACGTGGACGCTGCACCTGCTGGTCCAGAACCCAGACACGCTGGCCAGGGTGGGGACCGAGGGTGCGGGCATGGGACGGGACGGCCATTGACCCAGCGAGACCCGATGTCCAGCCGCAGGATTGGGGATCTCGATCGGCGCAGCTCAACCGCAGGCCAGGAGCACGGAGTGGTCTCGCCTGAGTCCCTTTTCCCGCCCTCCCCCACCCCTGCACAGGCCCAGGAGGAGATCGACCGGGTGCTGGGGGCCTCGCCCCACCCAGACCTCGCGCAGTACCAGCAGCTGCGGTACCTGCAGCGCTGCGTCGCGGAGAGCATGCGGCTCTACCCCCACCCGCCGGTGCTGCTGAGGAGGGCCCTCGTCCCGGATGAGCTCCCAGGCACGTGGTTGGCAGGGGAGTGTGGGGCGAGCGACGTCTCCAGGGCGGGTTGAGGGTCCAAGGCTCGCATGTGCTCACGGTGCCTGACGCACAATGCTCCCTGACCCCTCGACCTCCACGACTGTCCTCGAACAGGCGGCTACAAGGTGCCCAAGGGGCAGGATGTCATGATCTCGGTGTACAACATCCACCACTCCCCCGCCGTCTGGGACGAGCCAGAGGCCTTCCGCCCCGACCGATTCCCCCTGGACGCGCCGCCGCCCACGGAGCAGAACACAGACTACCGATACATTCCCTTCAGGTACATTGGGGGGGTGCGTCGACGCCTTTTTTTGGGGGGGGGGGGGCAAACTTGGTGCCCTGGTCGCCAGGCATGGGAGGCCGGGATGCGTGTGCTTGAGGTGCTTGTAGCTGCAAGGGAGGGCGCGGATGACGCGCCGCTTCTTGCTCACGGCATCGCTTTCAACCCAATCCCTGCACACCTGCAGCGGCGGGCCGCGAAAATGCGTGGGCGACCAGTTTGCGATGATGGAGGCGGTGAGCGCGCTGGCGGTGGTGCTCCGGCGCTTCACTTTCTACCCCAAGCCCGGGCACGAGGTGGGGATGACCACCGGCGCCACCATCCATACCCAGAACGGACTCTACATGGGCGTGGGCCTGCGCCAGGGATGAGTGCCGGGGTGCGATGGGACACTGCCGTGCTGTAGTTATTCAGACGTATTGGAGCGACCAATGGGTCTTCATCAGTATGAAAGGAAGCAGCGATCTCAGTGAGACTTTGATGATTGTCGGGATCGATGGGAAGACCCAAGCCCAGGATGGCAGAATTACAGCAGTGTATGTACAGCCCATTCCCACCCCCAACCATGGTTCGTTCATACCATCCAGAACACATCCGATCCCATTAGACCTCGGTAATTAAGCTGGATTGGGCGGGAATAGTACTGCGGTGGGTGACCACGTGGGAAGTCCCCGTGACGAACTGTTTTTGCTCCTGCATTTTGCCCGGCCGCCCAGTGACAATGGGCAGATGGTCCACTCTTCACCAGTCTCACCCTTCTCCATCGGCATGGGTAGCAGACACGCACAAGCCCCGTGCATGGCTGCCATGGTTTCCTCACGGCAACGTGTATTTGTTGGGACCTCGTCCTCTATCAATACACGCATCCGCAAGCTGACCATATTGACGCCCACATCTCTGGTATGTCCCCATTCATACCTAATAACCAACGGCTTCGACAGTTTGGTACGTCGCTGACCGCACCATGCCGGGGCAGGCACCGGTCAACTCATAGACCGGCTCCGGCTGTAGCATGTTCGACGAGAGGCTCTTTTTTATGTTGTAGGGCTAGGAGCAGTCCGATTCGGAAAATTTGTTGGCGCCAAAGATTGTAAAATGCCGAGTGAAGTCCTCATAGTGGAGCATCACCGCGGAATGGACGGCATGTCCGACAGTGACGTCCTGCAGGCATCCGACATCGAGCCACTGATCCGGAATGGGATACAGGCCACCGTCCATGGCGATTGGAACGAGGAGGAGGCCCTGGTCTGGCAGGAGGGGATCGGTACCGCCTGCCTGAAGCTGCTCGCGGGCCTAGCCCGGCCCTACAAGTTTGCCGTCACCACCCACCTCAGCCAGCGAGCGGGGGCGGGGCTCTGCTCCGCCACGGCAGCCCACTGGAACCCCAACACAGACGGACACACCGCTGTGATCTGGACCTCGGACACCGTCTTTGTTTGCGTGACGGTCTTCTGGTCGGCTGTGTGAACGCTTCTATCGTCATGCTGCTGGGCATAGAGTTCTGGTGGGCAGGACGCACCGACACGTGATTGTGCACAGGATTACACCACCCTTGAAAGCGCCGCCGAGATCAACAAGCATTTGCCTCAAAGAAGTTGATTTGAAGGATCAGGGCCCCTCAGACCTCTAGCTTGCGCCGGCCTTGGCCTCCTTCTTCTTCACTGCCCGCGACTTCCTCTGCTTGGGCGCCGTGCCGGCCGCCTCGCCGGCCGCCTTGGCCCAGGCGGCCGCCCCCCGCCTCCACTTGGTCTTCTGCGGCTCGATGATGGCCTGGCCCCCAGCCGCCTCAATGCTGGCACGTGCAGACTCGCTGAAGGCCGCCGCGCGGTATGTCCTCGGCTCCGTCAATTTCCCATTTCCGAGGATCTGATGTTCGGAGGATTGGAGGGGGGCAAGCACCTGAATGGTACCACTTCTCGGGCCAGCGAGGATTGACCCGTCCTGTCAAATCCACACTGCCCATCCAGGGTGGGAGCAGCGGGATCTACCTCACAATGCTCCCCAGCACACCTTGAGGGGCAGCCGCGCTTCCCGGCCTGAGGGGTTGATGATGCGGGCGCTGCAGAGGGTCTGCAGGCTGACCTCCATGTCCGGGGGCAAGGGGACGGGCCCCACGTTGAAGATGACATAGTCGGGCAGCCCCGCGCCCATGCCTGGGGGCCACGGGATCGATGGTCACGTGTGGGCCAGCCATCCACCACTCGGAGCCAGGAGGAGTGAGCAGGCATGATTTCCTCACCACAGGTTGCTCACAGCCACAACACATGCCGGCGGCCCTCACCTCCTGCGATGCCCTTCAGCTTTGGCAGCCTGCGGTACAGGGGGGTCTGCCCGCCCTCGAAGCCGGGCCTCATACCGCTTCCAGACCTGGACTTCTGGCCACGCATGCCGAACCCAGCCGACCCTCCCTGTGTTATGTGTGTGATGTAGACTGATTACCGTACAATGCCATCCAAGGAAGAAAAGCGTACCGCAAGGTCATCGCATTTTACGAGTTCTCCATGCTCCCACACCTTTACACCCAGCTCACCTGACCAGCACCGTAGCCTCGGCCCTTCCTGTTCCGGGCCTTCCTGGATCCAGGCTGGGGGGACAGGTTATGCAGCCGCAGGCGCTCTCCCATGCTCTCCTCGGGCCACTCCGCAGCGGTTGCCATGGGGCGGAGGCGAAGCAGGGGTGCACGGGCTGCGAATGGCTGATGGACCAGTCGGCATCCCGCAAAGCTCCGTATCAAGCTGCTCTGAGACTGCAGTTTAGTTGGGTGGGGAGGGAAGATACATCACGCCAGGATACTGAGGGGAGCTGGCGCAAGCCATGGTCCATGCACCTCACGTCACTCACCAGGGCAGGCGCCTGAGCTCCCAATCCCACGCGCATTGCTCTCAAGCCCAGTCAGAGACGTCCAAATGGTCAATAAGGCTGAACTGGCCAAAGTGTGGCGTCGTCAGATGTGTGTGCTCTGCATCGCCGGGGGAACGGAGTGGATAGCGTTGTCGCGGGAAGGGGTGCGCCCGGGCCGTGTTGACGGAAATCGAAGGTTGGAGGGGAGTGGCCCAGCTTCCCCAGGTCCCGCTCTGACACGGGCTGCAGGGACGCATGGCTGGACTACTAAGCAGCACTTGCACCTTTTTACTTTTATTCAAGGAATCAGCTCGACCCTTCAAAAGGCGTCGAAATCGAAACCCTGCCCAGTCAGGACCAGGGAGGACCCTGAAGGTCGTGAACGCTGCCAGAGAATCTGCGTGACGCTGTCGACAAGGCAAAGAGGAAAACTACTACACACCTGACCGTTTTCTAGCCTTTCACCGGTTCCCCAATGGGGAACAGCGGGAGCAGACACCGCCCCCCTCTTCCCACATCCACTCCCCCAGCTGCGCCGAGTATCACCACCGGGCCCCCCCCTCCCCCCGAGGCCGCAGTCTCGGCACAGTACCCACCACAGGTAAGATTGCAGGGCCTGCACAAAGGCTCGACTTGCTTGCGCGCAACTCGTGCCGGCCAACCCCGCCCTCCAATAGCCCACCCCTCCTCTCTTTCCCCTGTGCTGCAGTCGCCCTACCCCTACCCTCCCGCCGGACAGGCCGGGGCCCCTCCCTATGCCAATAACGGAAGGACGTACGGGGGCTGGCAACCTTCCCCCTACCTGCCGCCCAGGGTGAGGACAGTGTGTGCGAGTCTGTGCTAGTTTCCTGCCGGTAGCAGAGGGTGTGGGCCCAGGCTTGTCACCGTCGATCTTTCAAATTCTGGACTCGCCCATAAAGGATATATTCTTGCCACATTGAGTGTCGTGAGCATCCGCAGATGGAGCTTTGAGTCTCATAACAGTCTCCCACCACCCTTTCCATCCTATCACACGGACCCAGAACCCACTGCCAGCTCAGCATGTGCCGCGGCACTACGGCGGCCCCCCCGCCCCCGCCCCGCCCACACCTGCCCCAGCCAGCCAGGAGCTGACCCAGACCGCCACCATCCGCAACGCCGTGAACCTGAAGAAGGCCAGCCTGCGCGTGGCGCCCGGCCCCACCCCCGACACGCTGTCGATCTCCTTCACCTTTGACGCCTCCAGCCCCTGCGTGGTCAGCGTCTTCCTGGGCGCGCGCGAGGACGTGGCGCACGGCTGCCGCCTGACCGCCGGCCGCGCGCCCGCCGCGCCGGCCGCCTACCCGCGCGGCCTCGGGCACGCCTACCCGCCCGCCGGCACGGCCGGGACGGTGATCGAGGCGGCGCAGCTGCCGGGCCTGCTGGCCGCGCCGCGCGACACCCACCCCCTGGTCATCCGGCTGGAGACGGTGACGGAGGCGGGCGCGGCGGCGGGGCGGAGCCTGGAGGACCTGCGGCCGGGGGAGCAGCAGGCGGCGTGGGTGCAGAGCCAGACCACCTACGCCGCGCTGCTGCGCGAGGAGGACGGCAGCCACGCCGTGCGCGTGAGCAAGCAGAAGATCTGGGTGGAGGGCGTGTCCTACGAGCTGCAGGAGATCTACGGGCTGGAGCAGAGCGGCATGGTGCCGCGGGTGGCAGGGGCCGAGGCCCGGGAGTCGGCCGAGGACGTGGAGGAGCGCCTCTGCGTCATCTGCCTCGTCAACGACCGTGACACCACCGTACTCCCCTGCCGGCACATGTGAGAGCGC